AAATTCCATTTTTAAATATTTATTCTTTATTTTTAGTTGTTTTTATTTATTTTATTTATTTTTATATTTCTTCTTTTTTTTTATTTTATTTTCCTTTAAATAAAAGATCTTCCACTCGACCTTCATCACTTTAAAGTTTGCTACAGCTTGATAGTTTTTAGTAAATTTTATTACAATATTAACTAAAAACATAAATAAAAACATTAACTGCTATTAATATTAGTCTTAATAATAATAATAATAATAATAATAAAAGATAATATTTAGATATACAAAAATTAGTATACTAAGGATATGGTGACCTAGTGAAATGAATAGGTTGTCAACCCTTAAGTAGCAAGTCTAAGGTTCAATTCTCATGGATGATAAATTTTGGAAATTATACCTGTGTTATGATAACTATCTCTTGCCAATTAGTTGAGTTTTAGGCATCTATAATCTTAGATATACCAAGTCAGGTCCTATCTAACATTGGGAGCTCAGGGCATCTATGTGAAATATAACGTTACATAGTACATATACATAGAAGAATGTAAAAAACCAGTATCATATAAGGCTTCGGTGCAAACCTATAATAAGACCACTAGGCATAGAAGACTAAAAAACTGAAGAGATAGAAACTTACTTAAAAATCCTAAGTAAAGAGATAGCACAAACTTTCGATGATGCCATTGAACTGATGAAAGTCTATGAGACATCTCATAGTAACTGTCAGATAAACCAGATAACAAAGATGTGTAGAAGAGCATATGACCAACCAGGCTGCTGAAATTATCGAAAGAAAAGAATACATAAGTATACCATACTAGGTCATCTGAATTGGAAGTCTAGGAAGTCAGTTAGTTTTGAGTTGTAACTAGTAAGAGATGATAAAGAAGAAGTCAGATAGATGGATATCAAAGTTTGGGTGAACTTTACAAGAGTAATAGTGGTTTAAGGGATAACCCTGACTGCAAGTGTTGGTTTTAGCCATAACATCAAACCAGATTAGTGATAAAAAGAAATTGACTTGCTCTAGTAGATTTACTTCAAGAATAAAAATAGTCTAAGAATTATAATCCTATAGTTAAATGTGAATAGATTCAGGTCTGTGACCTAATGAAATTAATACTAGAGTTAGATCAGAAGGTTTAAATAGAATATCTAAACAGGAATATTAGATACAGTAACTAGTAGGGAACCCTTGAGTGGACTTTTTAAATAGGTAATATAGAAAAGTTATATATGTAGCCAGTTGTATACTCGTCTAATAGTTTATTATAGATACATCTATATAAAACATGTACCTGTTATAAGTATTAATAAAAAACTTGACCAAAGAGGTCACCTTAATATTGAAAAAAAAAAAAATTTAATATACTATCTATCAAGTATAATATAAGTATCAGAGTATTTAATTAGAATTTCCTAACAGATTACAAGTATGATAACTAGTGTAGAACCTGTAAGCAAACTACTTAAATAGGCAACCAAAAGTTACATATATGACTAGTTGCATACTTATTATGTGCAAGTTATATAAACATAATTAAAAACACAATAAAACAGTAGCCACTATTAATATTAACAGTGAAAGCAAAAAAAAAAATTTAAATAATATATACTAGAAAAACAAATAAATACTGTTAATGTTCAAAGTTAAAAATATAAATATTGATTATTGGCAAATTTCAGTTTGTTAGACTGATTCATGTCAATTTATATTATTTGATTGGCAATTATTTGATCACATGACTGAAATCCAACACAAAATCATTTTAAAATTGCTCTACCATAAAGTTCTTGCTACATTTCGAACAATTAATAATTAAAATAAATTTACTCAAAAATTTTGCTAATGAGTGTTGACAGCTTATCAACTATACCAAGTCAATAAAAATTATTTTATTTAAAAAAAATACTAAATATAATTTAATTTCTAGGCAAAATACGGTTTAAAAAATTATATTCAAAATGAATACGTATATACTTAGTGTTTTACCTTTGTAGGAATTTTAAGTTTGCAGTTTAGTAACAATTTGCTACTTTTGAATTTATAATTGTAAATTTGTAATTGTATAGTGCAATTTTATTTTTTACAATGTAAATAATTGATATTTAAATTTTTAATGTTTCAACAGCAAAAGAAAAAAATTACCCAACAACTATCATCTGAAGTCACATGTAAGCTGGCAAAAAATCCGGCTACCATTTTTTGGGGCGACACTGCCGTTGACCAGTAGATCACATGCCTGCACATGACTTTAAACGATCCTCAAGATGGCAGTCTGAACCTACCTCTGATAGGTTAATTTGAATTGGTAGGATACTTTCCCGTCGATCATGTGCAGAATCTACACAAATCTGACCAATCAGACCAATCAGACGATCTTCCTACCTACCCTTAAAAATTTTAATTGGACATAGCACCTGCTATATCGATATTGCTCTACCTTTATCAGAGCTCTCGATTGCGACGAAACGCGAGGGAACAGGATTTATAGATAATAGCTTTAAATGGATCCGTTAGAGAAAATAAATTTACTTTCATCCAGCCAAGCGTCTCAACAACTACCTCCAACTAGCCAAGCGTCCCAACAATCTAAAGATTTCGTCACACGCGTTTTAAGTCCAAGGGTAGCTGTGGTGTCTTCTCCAGATGCAGATCAAGTGTGTCAAGCGAGTAATTTCCCTGATTTTCTCACATTGATAAAACCTTTCGGTGAACGCATTGAAGGAAAAGGTTCGTAAGCATAACAATAGTCCAATATCAAAGAAGCATATTGTAGGTACAAAGCTTACTCCCTTTTTTTTAAAAAAAAACACTGAAAATCCAATTGCATTGTTATTTCATTCGTGTTTTTATATTTAAATTTATACAGTATTTACCAAAGATTCCCAGGGTGCTTCGAATCCTATAGAAAACTTTACAATTCGATTTGTTAATTTAACAAGACTAGAACAGCCTGACGTTCAACTCACTTCTCAAATTCTGGCGAATAGAGTCAAGTATATCAATAATTCCCTCTTGACGGATGAATTAACTCCCATAAAAACGAAATCTGATGTAACTGAGAGGTATTTGGAAGGTATTTTTGTTTTTATCGACCGAGCCATTTATAAGTAAAGTCGTTGTGCCGTATTAATGCTTATACACATTACAGTAAATCAAGATGAATTAACCCCATGGTACGCAGAGTATAGACGATGGTTCTTCGGATTTACTGGCGTTTCCGAACACGAAACCTTTGAACATCCTGTAGCTTGTATCCTTTGAACGTTATTTGTTCCTTTATTATGTTAATGCGATTTATATATTAGAGCCATGACTTATTGACATCTTAGGTATTCTCGCCATAAGCTCGTCAAATGCGAATCCAATTGATACGCTTCGTCAGATGTGTAATATCACTACTCTTGCCCCTATATTTGAAAAAGGATTTATGGACCCCAATGTTTTGAAATGTTACGTTCTTTTACATGATAATCACAAAGTTAGCGTGGAACAGTGAGTAAATCATAGTTATTTTTGGAATTCATGTTTTTTTACCTATATGTTATCACATTTCGATAATTCCATTAATTGAATAATATCGTGACTAGCTCTGAAGCGATCTACGAAGAGATGAAACGCACATTTAAACAAGACTGCTACATTTTAAAGTTAAATTCTATTCCTCTTACATTACTTTCGGAAGATCAAGATCCTTTCTCTATCCCTACTTCTCCATCAACAACAATTCGTGATGCAACTAAAGATATCTGGTCTCCTTATGTTTTGGAATCCAACGTTCTCGATGCATTGTTTGCGGCTACACCACCGACTTTGTCTACTTTCTCGGAGTCTCATTCACGCCAAAGTTCTTTAACTTCGCTCTCAAACTATTCGCATCCACTTTCTCCCACTATTTCAGCTCTAAATTCTCCAACGTCATCATTCATTGAAGATTCTACATTTAACAAAGAGAACATGAATTCAGAGTTGCAAAGTGCACTTAATCCGGGTTTAATTGGCAATTTGTCACTTCCTGATGCCTTGTATGGGCAATACCTTAATGAAGATGATATCTCTGGTATTCATGTTTTTATACGGGATTTGGTGGACAAAAGTATTATACCATACATGGAGAAAAATATTTGGCAATGGAATGAACAGGTTTTTATTGCTTTAAACATATCAATATATAGTATATCAATAAATGAAATATATTATCATGAATTGCATTGATGATTTATGGCTCTTAGGTCGCATCATCAAGACGTGGAATTACTGGTCGTCTTTTCAGTGCGGGTAGACGTTATTTTAATACTGGTACAAGAGCCACTGGATCGGCTCAACAGTCTTCTCAATATTCTTATATTGGAAATTCTTCAACTGCTGCGAATACTACGTTAGTTGATATTTACGAGCGTTCGGCTATATATCAGCAAGATGATTAATTTAGTATTTTTTAATCTTAGATATTTGCACAATACTCCAGAAGCACAAATGCGTAAACTAGCTGATTATGCCTTTATGCTCAGAGACTACCGTCTTGCTCATTCGGTTTATGATACTGTCAAAAAGGATTTTTTAGCTGATAAGGCATGGAAATATTATGCTGGTGCACAAGTTAATATTCATAATATTTATTTATTAGTCGTTAAATATCATCAACAGATGATAATTTATTTTGTTTTCTTTATAAAAGGAAATGGCCGGAGTCTGTTTGCTAATTGCTGGAAATAAATTAGAAGTCGATCACTATTTTGAGCAGGCGGTTAATGCTTATCTTAACCGTTCTAAAGTCCCGTTTTACGCAACTAGGGCGACACTATTGTATTACGAATTGTTAAAACACAAAAAATTGTACAAAGATGCCCCAACTGCACTTGTACGGATGACTGGTGATGTAAGATGTTAATCTTTATGTTATTTATGTTATTGATACCTGTAAACTTGAGATTTTATAAATCAACGTATATTTCTGCAGGATTCTGACTTGAGAAGTGCGTTATTCTTAGAGCAGGCAGCCTATGCTTTTTTGAGATGTTCTAAACCTATGGTCAGAAAATATTCTTTTCATTTGATGCTAGCGGGCCATCGATATGGAAAATGTGGCCAGGTAAAATATATATTATATATAATATTGTGTTTTCATTAAATTAATCAATGATCGTTTATGTTTTTTAATCTTTTGATTTATTCAAAGAGGGAACATGCGTATAGATGTTATCTTGATGCTATGCATGTTTTTGAGAACCACTCATGGACTTTAATTGAAGATCACGTTTATTTTGCACTTGGTAGACAGTCTGTGCATTTAGGTGACCTTTCAGCTGCTCTAGAGTTTTTTATAAAATTATTGAGGGCAAGTCGCCAGCCACCAACACAGCAAAATACTTATTTGAGAGAATTTATGTATATTTATAAGGTAATTAATTTTGGTTTCGTGTTGATTGATGAATCTAACGATAAATACTAACTTCTACTATTTTGTTTTACCCTCTTAAGCAATATGAAAGTAAAACCGGAAAATACCCTTATTTTGATCAAGAATTTCCAATTCCAGTGATCGATGATTCATCTGTCAAAGTTATTCTTTCTAATTCGCAGTCTAGCGAATATGATGAGATTTGGGATGTAATGGAGCGAGAATTTTTGGAAGAAGGGTTTACAGGATTAGATACATATGGAAACCCACGGAAAAAGCCAAATACTTTAAATAGCGATATTCACAGGACCGTATGTGCTGTTGGAGGTATGGACTATTGCATCTATTACTATAATATATTTTATTTATTCATATGCTTTTTTTTTTAATAAATTGTAGAGCCATTTTTTGTTCAGCTGACTCTTCAAAATCCAATGCAAATTGCTTTTAATATAAATGATTTGATTCTTGAATGTGAATATATTCCACTACCGGTTTCCAGTGAGAACCCTGCAGAGTTAGACAAGGACATAGATAATGAAACAACTATACCATACCATGATATTATCGACAATAGAGAACCTCAATTGATGAAGTTTGAAGATTTTGACTTGGAAAAGCTTAAAGAAGTGTCTCTTGAAGTGTTAGAAAATAAAACGGTACAAAACTGTTATATATTTCTAAATAGTATTGTAGTTGATCGAACACTCAATAGTGACATGAAATACCAATTAATTGTTACTAGATTTCTTTGTGTGTATTACCGAAAAAACAAGGTTCAATCAAAATTTTGGGTCTTAAATATACTCTTAACTCAATTGTTCACGGAGTAAAGAAATTTTCAAAGCGTGGCAAACGCCTCAATGATACCACTGAGCAACGCATGGGTATTGTTTATGCTCCTGATCGATCACTAGATCTTTTGGTTACATCACCAATGCCATTACTTGAGGCAACATTCCATAATTTTCCCGACGTTCTTCTTTCTGGAGAAGTAAAACAAATTCTTTTGGAAATCAATAATAAAGGGCAGAAGGGACTTACGGATTTACGTGTGAAAATAAGCCATCCCAGTTTTTTTTGCATTGGTGATGCGGAGATGCTAGAACAAAAAATATATTGTAAGTCTGTTAATTTTTTTTTGTAGGATTTTAAAAGAACCTCAATGAAATACTAATTTGTGGATAATGACGTTTCAGACTCTTCCACTAGAAATTCGAAATTGAATACTGAAACATGGACAACAAACAACTCTATATTCAAATCAAGCATAAAGACCATACCGTTACCATCGCAAGAGGTTAGCAATATTTGTTCTCTTGCTCCTGGTAAAACAACCTTAATTCCAATTTGGATTAGAGGAGATCGTATAGGAAAACATTCGTTTAGGTTTTTGTTTACTTATGAATCTGAGGTACCCTTATCCTTCAAATTTTATTGGTATTATCCAAACTTTTCGTCACTTAATAAGTATTGATATCTATTTATTGTTTAGAATAACAATTCAGCTATGAGATATAGGAGTCTACGTTATCTTAAAGCAACACAAGTACATCCTTCTCTCAAGATAAATGCATTCACTCGACCAAGTATCCGAGGACTAAATGAATTCATTTTGGGGATTGAGGTAAGCTAGCCTTATTTTCTGTTAATCTGATTACTATTAATTCATCTTTTCTCTTTTATTTTATTTTTATTTTTACATATCGCTTACAGATTGAAAATTTACAAACTACTAGTGAATATCAATTTCAATTGTCCCAACTGTCTTCAATCAGTCCATCGTGGACAATATCTCTTGTAAATGAAAACTTTGAGTATGTTGGTTAATGGATTTATGTTTGTCTTTTGATTAAAGATTGATTTGAAAAAAAAATTTAAATGCAAATAAAATTTAAACATATATATTATTGTAGGAACGCTAGTCAGAAATTTTTAATAGCACCACGCCAGACAGTGTTTACCTACTATCGAATTAAAAAAGATGAAAAGAAATCTAAACCAATATCTCATGACAATGTTGATTCACAGAGTCCAATGGTTACTCCGGAAATGTATTCATCTAAGGCTTTGGAACTATTGTTAAACGGACAAAAAGACCTGAAGTCGGAACCATCACCTATTGATCTTATTGTAACGAATGTTCCTTTTGTAAGTTGTATTTATTAGTTGAAAATCTATTATATCTTCAAATTTACAAATAATCATTGGATTGTACTTTTTAGACAGACAGTACCATAACAAATTCTACAAATCCACTTGAAGGATTTTCATTGAATTCACGCGTTCAATGGCGAACCAATACTTTAATGAATAATTTCCCTGTTATTCCAGCGTCCAAACACCGCACACTTTTCCCATTATACAATACAAACGATGTAGACCTTTCACTTTATTGGAACATACCAACTTTGTCCCGTCAAGGACATCATTATATTATCGGGATTAATCTTGGAGTTCAACAAAATCCATTTCGATCACAGAATATAGCAGTAATTCAAGGCAGAGCATTGTTTGAACAGACAGTTCGGGAGCGGAATGCATTAGTTAATAGCTTACTGAAAAACAAAAATTTCAAAGATGAAAATCCATTGAAGCTCATTATACAATGTGCCGACGTGTATGAGCATGATTTTCGGAATCGAAGGTTAGCATTATCATGTTTATTGAGTAAAAAATTAAATTAGTCATTGAGGATTATATTTTCTTTTAGTTTTTGTATAGTTCCTATCAAAATATCAGTCAAAAATTGTTCATGGAATAGGAGGATCGGATATACATTGGAGATGTTGTCATCTGATCGGAATGAACCCAGTAGGAGGTAAATAAGGTTATTTCTGTCTGCTTCGATCTAATTAATTACAAATTATTTTATTGACATCGTTTAATCTATTAATCTGTATAGTACACTACACAAGTCCATATATCCAACAGTATTTCAATGGACTGGACCTACTTCTAAGTGTTCCATATTGTCATTGAACGAAGAACAGACATATATTTTCAAAGCATGCTTTGTTAGACCTGGTGTTTATGATGTAAATAGATGGCGATTGACGATAAATTTTGATCAAACTGTAAGTGATGATGAAAGTAAAGGTGAAAGTCCACGAGAGAATTATGCAACGAACGTTTATGATGGCAATGTCGGAATGAAAGGTTATGTACAAATGCCTAATACTCTACGTCTTTTGACATTGTTGGATAGTTCAATTGACAAAAAGAGTGAAGATAGTTTATAGCCATTATAATAGTATATTTTACGTGGAAATAATTATTATAATGATATTTGTATTATCATAATTATTTTTTGTTGGCTTTTAATTTTTCGAGTTCTGTCATAATATCTTGCTTAGTTGTTAGAGGACGCTAAAGATTAAATAAATATTTACAGTCTGATAGTTATTTAATATTTAATAAAATTTTAATTGCTTAGTTACGTGTGTTTTTTCAGACCGAAATCTAGTCTAATAAAAAAAAAAAAAAACATATATATATATATATATCGATTTATCATATAAAATATTGAGCATAATTCTTTTAATAAGTACCTCTTTAACGTGCCTCTCGTAAAAACTAGGACTTCCAACATAATACATCACAGCTACAGGAAAAAAGATATAGACACTAAACTAAAAATTGTTAAGATAATAATGTAAGGTTAAGTATCATTTGAAATTATTGAAAACGAGAATATAAATTATTGCCTTAAAAAGTTCTAAATTTGGACCACCCATTTCGCGGCGAACATTATCGTTAAATCTGTTATATATATTGAAAAAATGAAAGATCGACAAATATGCGCCAATCGGATTTTTTTGCCAAATATGATCAGGTGTAACGTGAAAATAACATAACACTGGTGTTATACGTAGCATAGCGGAAGTTCATTTTGATTGGTTATTGATATGCCTCGGATAATGTGTCGATCATACCCGGATAAAGCATCGATTATTCATTTCCGATTGGTAATTTGCTATCATTGTTTGTTTATTTCAAATTTTTTTTTTTTTTGGTGTTAAGGTGACCTCTTTGGTTTTTTGATTTTTATTAATCACTTATTGATATTGTGGTTTAATAATTACTACAGGAGAGCATACAATTGGCTACACATGTAACTTTTCTATATTACCTATTTAAGAAATCTGTCCAAAGGTTCCTTACCAATTGTTGTACTTAACACTTCTGCTTGGATGTTTTACTTTAAACCTTTTAAACCTATAATCTGTATTAACTTATTGGGTTATACCTAGATGTTCAGATTATTATCTTAACCTTAGAATTAATTTATTCTCAAAATAAATCTTTCAAAGCCTTTTGTATTTATTTTTACAATTAACCTAGATATTGCTATCACAGAATTAACACTTGCAGTCAAAGTTTAATCATTAAACTGTTATGTTCTTGTAGAGTTTACTTAGATATTAGCATCTACTTAATAGCATAATCTTGGTATTTTAGTATATTTCTAAATTTAATCAGATTTTTAATTCAGATAGCTTATATAAAATTTTGATCAGTTTATTAGTATATTATTAATTAATACTCTAACCTCTTATATAAAAAAATATGTTATTAGCTCATATGTTTAAGCTTATATGAAATGATATTAATTTGATAATTCAAATATATAATTCAATTTCTCTTTCTTTTTTAATACAAAAAATAAATAATAAAAATAAATCATTCTTTTATAAAAACTTCTGATTTTAAATCATTATATAGACTATGATAAGTTTTTTAGTTTTATGAAAAAAGCTTGTTTCATTACAGATATTAATTGTGCTAGTAGCAGGATTGTAAACCATTCTCTTCACAAACATATAACTCAATAATTAAATGATACTAATATAGATATTTAGACTGGAATAGGCATTACCAAATATTGCACAATAGAGACATACAATATGTATAGGTCACAAAATAAGCAAAATCAATAATAAATACAAAAATAATCAAAATCAATTTAATCATCTGAAATCGATCAAGATTCCATTTACTTCTTTATTTATTCTGTAAACAATTCAAAATAATAACATTCAAAGGTTTTCATATTAATAGTTAATTTTACTAATTGTAAATTTAAGATTTTTCTAAGTTATTAAAATAGTTTTTTTAAATTGAAAAAAACTTTAATGTATCTTAATAACTACTCAGATTATTATTAAAGAGTAATATCTCAGTTATGCTTAAAAGTTATTAAAATATTTTGCTGATATATAGTTATATATAATAAAAAAATTGAAATATTTCTCTTACAAATACTTCGATTACTATATCAAGATTATTGAGTATTTAGCAAAAATACTCTGACTGTATATGTACAAGCAGAAACTTTGTTTCTGCTAATACTCAATAGATCAGAATATTTTTATTACTAATTTACTAAGATAATAATATACTAACTAGTTGCAAATTTTCTTCTGCCAAAAATCATATGAGAGAGTTAAGTCAGAGTATTAGATCAGTTTAATATCTTTTTTCTTCAGTTTGTTTTGGCAACTTGGTTTATAGTATTTTTAAGACTTTTAACTCAGTAGTTATTCTCTGTCCAGTTACTAAGGTCTGGATATTTATTTTTTCAAACTAGTCTTTACAGTAATGCTATCAAAAATCTAGCTATTTCTCTATTTAGATTTTTTTAAATGAACTTCTTGTTATTTAATTTCAATGAATTTATATAATTACAAGAACTTATCTAATGTTTGCATCATCCAATTGCTGGTTTGCATTTTTTTGTATAATTACAAACTTTGTTCCAAAGGACAAGATTATGTGATTTACATAAATATTTTATAACTTGTTAGTTATACTGATGCAACTGCTATTACAAATATCCTAATTCAATTGTTAATTATAGTTACTATAATATGAATATTACATAGATGATTATCTAAATTTTTGCTATCAATGAGATTTGAACATCCAACCTATTACTTAAAGAGTTAATAATCTGATCACTTTACTAGATTACCACATTCTTGTTTATTCATTTTATGTAATATTATTAATTTATTATGATTAGATTAATAATATTTATTATTTAAAATAAAATTTAGTAAATGTTTTTTTTTTGATTCAAATTTTTATAAAAAAAGAATAAAAATTGAAATAAAATTTTAAAAACTAATCAAAAAAATGCAGTTGTATTAGAAAAACTTTATAGATATTATTTTTTATTTTATTTAATTTTTTTTAAACTAGTTTTTTAAGAATTAGGGCTTTTTTATTCAGTATTGTAGAACATGATAACTTACAGTCCAATTATTTCAGAGGAGCTACCTTACATTAGAGAGTACATTTAGCCACACATATACTTTTGGTGTCTAATTTAAGTAGTTTGCCTATATATAAGTTTTACATTAGCTGCTATACCTACAACTCAACTACAGATGTTGCCTATTTAAACCTTCTGTACTGCAATTCTTACTGTTATTACTAGAACATCTTTGTTACATGATATTAGTCAAAAAGTTCTAGATGCTTACTCATACCCTTAGGACCCTTGCCTTATTTCATGCAGATTATCCTCAAGACATCATTACTAAAGCCTTCTGTATCTCAAATTATAGCTAAACCTAGTTTACAACCCTTATGAAGTTCATACAACTCTAGTACTCTCCTTTTACAACCTTACTGTTACCTTGTTTACTCTTGCAAGTTCTCTTATACTACTAATCCAGTTAGTCCTACATAATGCAACTTTATGCTCAGATCAACCAGTGGCCAGGTTGGTGAACCCTCTATCTAGAGATTCTTGCCTGTACAGATCACCTGCTTCAGGTTTCCTTTAGCAAATCAAGATCTTCACAGGTGGCACTGTTGAAAGTTGTACTACCTCTTTGCTTAGGATTTTCAAGCAGGCTTCTAATCTGAGTATATACTTTCTGGATTTATTCATATAATATTGCACACTTCCAAAGTTAGTTTTGGCATAACCAGAATTACAGAATCTACAAACCTCAGATTACAGATAAGTTTGCTGAAATAGGTCTATTTTTTCAAAATCTGTCACTGATGGGAATTGAACATTGAATCTACTGCTTGAAGGATGACAACTCAACCACTACACTAGAATTATCATCCTCTGATATTATTTTTTATATTCTTTTAGAAAATTATAACTAATTAAAAAATATAATAAATTAGTTCTAAGGTTAAGATAATGATCTAGGCATCTAGATATGACCTAGTGAGTTAATACAAGTTACAGGTTCAAAGGGTTTAAAGTAAAACATCCAAGCAGAGATGTTAGATATGGCAATTAGTAGAGAACCTTCAGGCAGACTCCTTAAATAAATAATATAGAAAAGTTATATATGTAACCAATTGTATGCTTTTCTGTAATGATTTATTAAACTACAATACTGATAAAAGATTAATAAAAGTCAAAAGACCAAAGAGGTTACCTTAATACTAAAAAAAATATATATATATATAATGAGTTCAAATAGCTTGTAATAGATTAGTTCAAAGCAAATACAAGATTTTGAAATTATTTTTTTATTTTTTTTTTTTTGCTTTCGCTAAGGCTATAGTTATCAGTGGCTATTGCCTTTATTGTATTTTAATTATGCTTACATAACTTATACAAGGTGAATATACAACTAGCCACATGTACAACTTTTAGTTGTCTAATTTAAGTAGTCCGCCTGCATAGCAGGTTCTACACTAGCTGCCATACCTGCAATCTACTAGGAGATTACCTATTTGAACACTCTAATTCCTATACTTATATTGACAAATAGTGCACAAGTTCCTGTACACCTAAATGCTGTCTAACCTAACTATAACCTTCCTGTCTGTACATCCATCAAGCCATTACATATTTCAGAATATGTCACCTGACTTGTAGAGCTCTAGGAGGCCCTTCTGCTAACTAATTACCTATATTTAGTATTTTGTTAACAGGGCTTGCTCTTGCAGAATTCACCCAGACCCCAGTACTGACTTTATAGATATCTCTAATACTTTAGTATACCTCTGTTTCTGACCTCAGACTTCCAATTCAGATAGCCCGATAGGACTATAACCTGTTTCTGGTATCTCAGAGTCTGCTCCTCAAGGTTCTTTTCTTCTGGTTCAAGACTTCCAGTAGCCTAGTTGATGGTACCTCTTAACTGAAGTTCTTACTTGCCTAATTCTTTCTACATTGGTATTCATTTCTTAGGTTTAGCCTTTACAGTAATACTGTTAAAGATCCGTGCTTACCTCTCTACTCAGGTCTTCCCAAGTAGGCTTC